ATGAATAAACACAATGTGAAGCCATCATCTGTCCAGGCTGGAAATTTCAGGATCATTCTAGACCTTCCTTTTCTTCATTCCCACAATAACAGTGGCTGATACTTCCTGAGATGTCCTTGGTCCCAGGGGCTTATCTGAACCAAGTCCTCAAATCCTCCCAGCAGCCTGTGAGGTGGAATTAATATTCCCATTCTGCAGACAGGAAGCTGAGGCTGAGAGGGGCCACACACTTCGGCTGGTTCAGGCCACGCCTTTGGCCACCTCCCTTTGGCTGCTCCCAGTTCATCAAAGTCTGGCTGAGACTCTCCCATCTCCCTGGTCTAGCCTGCCTGCCTACACCCACAGCATTTCTCGGTTGGATGGCTGTCACTGCCCAGCAGATAGCCCCATAGGGCTTGCCCCTTGGGTGAAAGCCAAGCTCAGCTCTGTCTGTAGGAGCAGCCCAGGCCCTTGTAACCTCTGACACACACCTGGCCCAGATCAGCCTTGCCCTGCCCAGGGATGCCCTTTCTGACTTCTTTGTATGGCAAAGTCTCCCTCATCTCAGACAACCCTGCCTGGAAGGTTGGGCTCCTGGCTGGGTTTTCCTGACACTCAAGTGCCATTTGGAGTTTTCAGCATTGGTGAAGTCAGTACTGTGGGTATGAAAGACTTCTTAGCATGTCTGTGCCCCCTGCTCCCAGAGGGACAGGGACCCTGTCATAGTGAGACATGAAGCATGATGGTTAACCTCAGAGGCCCAGGAGCCACTCTGCTGGAACCAGGATCCACGCCTACTTGCTGTGTGACCTTGGGTAAGTCGCTTAACCTCTCTGTGCCTCAGAGTCCTCATCTAAATTGTATCTACCACATAAGGTTGTCACAGGATTAAGTGAAGAAGTAAAGCACTTCAAGCAGCACCTGGCACTCAGTGGCGCTGGCAAGTCGTCTCACACTGCATGTGCTGGGTGCCTGCCTCCGGCTGAAGGAAGTCCTGGCAGCTGAGCACGCTGTGTGGATCCAGCCTCTCTGGGTACCATCTAGAGAGCCTGGCAGTGTGATGATCTCGTTACCTGTGACGGAAGAGAGCAGCCACAGCTAGGAACCCCCGTGTCTGCCCAGCGCCCCAGATCTTAGAAGCTGCTGTCACTGGGAACGATGCAGACAGAACAAAGGCCCCTGAATCGTGCGGAGTGGGAAAAATCACTTCAAATCTGTTTTTTCAAATTGCGTTATTTTAAATGCCCTGGGCGGATGCCCACGTGTGCAGGGACACTCAGCAAAGAGAGTTTTTCTGTCCAGAGGCGCTTTGTCTCTTTGAAAGGCCCTATTGTGACCCCACACCGGCCCCAATTGATTCCCAGAACAACAGGCCCTTGTGTGGGCCACGAAGGCAGGCTCGCTCCAACCCACGGCTGGCAGCGCAAACCCTTTGCTGTCTCTTTAAGGTCAGTGTAAAACAGCCTTCAGTCCTCCATTTGGGCTGCTTTGCTGCAAAAATAGTCCTACAACCTGTGGGGGCGGGGGTACGAGATGCTGTTTAGAATTCAGCTCTCGAATGTTGGTGAAGCCCGGCTCCTATAAACCATGTCTTCTACAGAAGGGCAGATCGATGGGGCTCTATTGTGTGCAGAATGGGGGGCAGGAGCTTGGCTCCCTGGGACACCTCCCAGGCCACCCTACCCCGCACAGGGAAGGCCATCAAGAGGGTACCTCCAGGAATCCACCTGAAGCAAAGTGCCACAGCCTGCAAGTGACAGGCCATAGCCTCCAAAATGTCCTGGTTGGATTTGACTTGTAGCTGCCTTTTGCTGATTGCCCTCTGGTGACGCGCAGCCTCCCGACATGTGTCCATAACAAATCATAAGCCCTGTGGAGCTGCCCGAGGGCCATGGAAGACAGGAGGGAGTGCACTGATGAAATCAGTGTCCAGTCAAAGCCACACCGGAGCACTCCCAGCCACTATCCCAAAGCCCTGGCCGAACCCCACTCAAGCCCCCTTTCACCTGGCATCTGTTCACAACAAGGTCTCGTTTCACTGTCGTTTCCTGAGAAGCCAGAGGACAGATACGTAGGAGCTCAGGTCAGCTAGAGCAGCCCTAGGGCACTGGGCCTGCTCACTCATGCAGCCTTGTTTACTGAGCGCTGGACCCATGCCCTCCTGGCACCTGGCCGGGTGCTAGTGTTTCTGGGTCCACGGATAGCACACAAGCCACAGGGACAATCAGGGGAGGAGGAAGAGGCCCGTAGCAGTGACCCATGAGGCCCAGTTGGTCCAAACTCCCCGGTCCTCTTCTCTGTTGGGCCCAAGACTTGGTAGGGATGACAGTGGGGTGACTGACTATGGTTTGGCCTATTCTGCAAGCTTTGGCTCTTGGTCACATCATCGACATTGGCTTCTCCCTGATCCTTTCTCAGGCTTATGGATAGGTTTAGCTCTTTATTCTGTGGGCATAAAAATATCCAGTTCCTCACCTTTGCAAAGTATCAGCTGGACTGGGCTAGCCTTTGACTCTGTGGGGGCTGCAAAGTAGACCCAGTAGTTACCTGAGCTGGCGTGGCTGTGGCTACAGCTCTGAGCAGCCAGCTCCTCTCCAGAAGACAGCTGAGTCCAGGGCCTGGCCGTGGCCGTGGCTGTGGCTGTGGCTTGCCGTGGGCCCTGGTGGTGATCTGGGGCTGTCTTAAGTGCCTGGCTTCACTCTCTGAAGGTCCCTGCCTACTGGCATCATGGCACCACTAAATCTCACTGCCACTTCCTGGGAGGTGGGAGGACAGCCCCATGTGAGATCAGGTCTGGGCATCTTTAGGTCATATCAGGCCCAGAGCTCCAGGGCCAGAGGGAGGCGGCCCTCAATCTAGCTGCACTTCTCACCACCTGCACCAGCCTCAGTTTCCTCATCTGTAGGATGACATGGCCACTGGAAAAGTGACAAAGGCTATATATGGAAGGTGCTTACACAGTGCCTGGCACAAGGCAAGAGCCCCAAAATGGCAGGGAAGATGGTTACACAGGAGTGAATTTGGGTCTTCTGGGCAGTTATATTCGATCCAAGTGAGGGTCACCGAGCAGGCAGTCTCTGAGTGCCTTGGTGGCACCAGGCTCTGCCCTAGAAGTCCCCTCCTGTATAAGACCCAGAAGTAGAGAGGTGAGGAGTGTCAGACAGAAGCAGCTTTGGGGGCTAGACATCATCCTCCCAAGGGTCCCAGCACACAGAAAGTGCTCAGCTGGTGCCCCTGCTTTGCAGCCTGCTTCACCTAGCAGGCTTATTTAATGTCCTCATTTGTAACCCTTCTTACCCAGGCACCGTGGGCTACCAAGGGAGCAGTGCCCATGGCTGGCAGGGCTGCTGCCAGCACGCATGTGTACCTGCAAGCATGAAACAGCTGAAAACGGACAGAGCTGGGCACAGAGTTGCTGGAGCAAAGAAATCCATCAGGGAGTCGGGGTAGGAGGCAAGGAGGAAGAGCAAGACCGGGAGGGGGTATTTTTTGAGGCTGGAAATGAAACCTTGCCCATTCAATTCACACCCAAGTCAAGTGTGAAATGAAACTGCAAATTTAAAACATGCCCAGGGACAGAAGGAATAAGAAAGTGGTGCCAGAGAACCATCTGCAAAGCCTTTGGTTAGAGAGAAAATAGAGTATATGAAAAGTTTTTAAAAAGAGAATGATTAAAATGTCAAAACACTGAGAAGCTCTTGGGAAACTAAGCCTTCCATTTCTTCTTCTTTTTTTGATGAGAGTAAGAAGTGAGCTTCATTAACACGATGTTGCTGGCTTCCTGTAATGCAACTGGACAGTTTTGTTGAAAAATGAGGGTTTCCTCCATCAACACTTGATGCAAGTTTTGTTAAACATGTAACAAACTTCCTATTACTTCTCATTTGTAGTTTAGTTTTTTAAGGTGACTCTCCAATCAAACCTTTTGTTCATGATGTACAATGAAATGTTGGCGGTTTGAAGTGGACTTACTAAAAGTGGCTGGTTTCTGGTACCAGTTATCCTGGGTTAACAAAGGACCTCCTGAATAGACCAATTGAGTTGTAGAATCTCCAAGTTGAAGAGGAGTAAAATGTCAACTAAACTCACCACTTGAGGCTTGAATTTTATTTTATTTTATTTTATTTTATTTTAGAGACAGGGTCTTGCTCTGCTGCCCAGGCTGGAGTGCAGTAACACCATCACAGCTCATTGCGACCTCAAACTCCTGGGCTCAGGTGATGCTCCCACCTCAGCCTCCTGAGTAGCTGGGACCACAGGTACCTGACACTGTTCCTAGCCTGAAGCTTGAATCTTTGCCTCCATGGCTGCCAGCATGAGGTCACAGACATTCTGCCACATACCTCCATGGTGGGAAGCTCAGGGGTCTTGGAGCACCTGTCCCAGGGTCCCATCACTGGAATGGCGCTAATTCCTGGGATCCATGGGATAAAGGAGCATTTCATAACAGAGCTGGGCTTTCCAGATTCCTAACTCAGTGCCTTCTTCTTAATCATCCCATCTCCTTTCAACCCAGACATCTCAGACCCGAAATATGGCATTCTCCCTCTTGTCACGGTACTTCCTTTCACTCTGTAATCTCCCTTCCTTTCTCTCCTATGGAGTGGCCTAAGGAAATTCTAAAATAGTGTATGATCCGCATAATTGAAACAGAACAGACTGCCCAGAACATTCTGATGAGTTTCACAATGAGTGAATGGAAACTTCTGCACCATGTTTTCTTTTGGTGGAAGGAGGTTCTAGTGGGGCACAGACTACTGTGTCTTGTAGGAAAGAGAAGGGGCCCCAGGCTGGCACTTAGCCAGTTTCCAGAGAGAGGGGCAGCCATCTGGGCAGGTAGCTGGGAGCGTGGGCTCCCCAGAGTGCAGTGGCCGGGCACATACAGTGTCGTCTGAGCTGCCACCTGATGCTGTCTCTTGAGATTCAGGTTAAGTCAAAGGATTCCTCAGAAAGCAAGCTGAAATGATGGCATTCCTGATGCTGGGGAATTCAACCCAAACCCAAAAAACACCCAACAAATGTATTGAACATAAAGACACTTTATAAAGTATTTCAAAGGGTTATCATCTTCCACCATGGATATTTGGAAAGATCTGTTGAGTGAGTTTTAGTCCCCATGACACGCAGACATCCATGAAGACTTAAAACATGCCACAAGATGGGGCGCTCAGGAGAGCCTGTGGAAAATTCCAGATGGCCCTTCTCAAGAGCTGGTCCAGGGGTCAGCAGGGGATCTTTGTTTCCTTCTTAGGTCATGGTCCCCACTTCCCACCCCCGAACAAGAAGGTCCCCTTTCACAAACAGGAGGTGACCTAGCAGACAGCGCAGCAGTCGGAGGTTAGACACAGCAAGCTCCCAACCCGGACTCGAAGGCACACGGGAGAGTCCACACGGCACCCGCAAGCAACAGGGCAGGTTTTTTTTTTTTTTTTTTTGGGGCGGGGGGTTGTTTTCTTTTTTCCACCATCAAGGGCATTTCTGTTTTTTAAAAAGTTATGCTGGAAGGTGGGGCGAGCAGTTAACACCATCTGGGTTTTCAGCTCAAGTTCTGCTGCGGCTTTATGAAGACTTCCATCTGATTAAAGAGAACACCGCGTGGACCACGTAGAGCAGCGTGGCTACGTAGGAGAACACCTGGAACCAAGAGAAAGGGCCGTTAATGGGCTTGCTCGGGTAGGACGAGGCACAGAGTTTGCACTGCATCCAGCCCCACATGGCGCAGGGTTACCAGACCCAGAGAGCGTGAGCTGCCATTGCTTCTCATCCCTCACACAGAGGATGCCCTCCCTGCTGAGCCCAAGTGTACACCAAATCCTCTCAGTACAGAGCTGACATGACCTACGGGCTCCTAGACCTGGTGTGCAAGGTAAGACTCCACTATCACCCACCATCACACTGGACTCAGCTTAGGTCTCAGCTGACTTGAGACGGAGTCCTCAAAGGCTCCTCCAGTGAAAGCATCTCAGGCAGGTAACTCTCCAGGGACAGCTTCCCTCCCCACACCAGTGAGACCAGCGCCCACCAGCTGTGGTCCTGGTAGCTGGGTTGAGCGATCGTAAAGACCTGGGTGTGCTGGCCCTGGTGAAAGTCTCCATGCTGCTTGGACATCCTTGCCCTCTCAGGATTGTGTTCTAGGGTTCTTAATATCACAGGTGTGGCCAAGGGAGCCAGGCTTCATAGGAAATGAGAGACAGGGATTTTGAGCTTTTGTCGAAAGAAGGGGGCTTACTGTTGGGACCATGCAGTCAGCCACTGTGGCCTTGGGAGGGATGGCCCTGCTTGCTGGGGACTTGCTGTGTCCTCCTGGGCACCGTCTGCTCCCATCACCCTGCTCCTTAAACACTTGCCTGCCGCCAAGAACAATATCTGCACCTGGTTTTGTGACCTTGAGTGGGGGTCAAGAGTTTCCAGCTCAGGCACAACATCCATGTAGGGTGGCTACGCTTCTGTGACTCCTGAAAATGCCCATCAACCCCAGCCCTCAGGGTGCCTGCCCTCCTGCCCCCACGCCTGGGCAAGCACTTTCTCTCATGGCCTGGAGGTGGTGAGTAAGCCAAATTATTGAATAACACATTTACGATAATGTATCCAGGGAGGAGCAGTCACACACCAGAGGCAGCCCTCCAAAAATGTGGGCATTCCAGACCAATGGGAGCCTTTGGCAGAAGCACCTTGAAAGTCCCCCGCAGGAAAAGCAGTGGAAACTCATTTTCCAAGAAGGATCAAGAAATGTCCTACTGGGAAAACAGAGCTGGGCATGAATGGACATGTTTTGGCTTCAGAAAGCCCTCTCCCTAAACTGCAGCCATAATTGCCCACCATAGTTATAATCGAGAAGCCTCCATATTTCTCCGGAAATCTCCATCTCGCCCCAATCAGTTTCCACCGGTCCCCAGGGTCCCTTTAGGAAAGCAGCTCTGCCACCCACAAAGGAGAGAGGGAGGAGCTCAGGTTGGGACAGACCCTAATTAGTAGCCACAGAGTGGATGTGAGGCAGGCTGGCTGCCTCCAAAACCAGGTTGTGTGAGGGGGGTGTGAGGTGCCTCCCTGTACCCGAGTATCCCCTGGACTGGGCATGCTGTGGCTTGTGGGGGCAGGTGTCTGGGGTTGAATCCTGAGTAATGAACTTCTTTCTCCCCCACGAACAGATGCAGTTGATACCCTGGGTAGAAAGGCATGACTTTACGTCCAACACTGTGCAGATCCCCCTTGGTGGTCTTGTTCGGGCGCATCTGCCAGCTGAGAACACTCTGGTTCTCCATTCTAATGGTTCTGTCTGCATGAGCATATTTGTGTCTATCCAACTCAACTAAAAAAATGGGGAGATGGTCAGTTGTGGGATGGATAAATAAATGTTGGTCTATTCCTACAAGGGAGTACAATATAGTAATGAGAACAAATAAGCCACATGGATACCCAGCCACATGGGTGAATCTCACAAACACAAGGGTGAGAGAAAGAAGCCACACATGAGTACCCACTGTGTAATTACACTTATATGAAGTTCAAAGGCAGGCAAAACTGAACGGAGTGCTAGAAATCAGAACTGGGTGGTGGTGAGAGTGCACAATGATGGGGACAGGATTTGAGGGGATTTCTGGAAGTGGTTTATCAGGCCTTATTTCTTAGTCCAGATGCCAACTACACAGGGGAATTCACTTTATGAAAGTTCATCAAGCTGTGCGCTGGTAACTGCACACCTCTCTGGCTGTGTGCTGCATTTTGATAAAAGGTAAGAGAGAAATATCAGAAGGCAGTAGAGCCTAGTGGTTCTCAACTAGTGACCTGCCCAGTGGGAAGGGGCATTCATTCCCCTGTCTGGGTTTTTTTCCATCAAGTGCTGACCCACTACCCACATCCCATCTACATTTCACAACACTTGTTCACAACAATTTTATGAAAATTGTTGTCAGACACTTTGCTGATGTTTGTTAAAAGAGAATGCTTGGTTGGGATGGGGGAGGTATGAGGCAGTCTTGGGAGAGGGAGATGAGACAGAACTGTGTGAAGAATGATGGAGGGTGGGTCACCAGCCTCCTGGGGAAGGAAGATCCGTCAAGATGTCACTTGGCTGTGCTGCTGCTTGGAAACCAGCCATGTTGGGAGATGGGCCAACACAGGAAATGTTTCCACACTGTGAGGCCCCTGGGGAGATGCCAGGATCCTGAGGGGGGCCTCTTTAGGGGAGCAGTTGTAGGCTGGGAGCTTGAGGGCAGTGTGCGGCTTTCCCAGGGCAGGGTACTGTGCAGAGGGACCACCAGGTGAGGCTTTGAGGGACTTTCCCCTCAAGAGTCACCTCACCAACGTCATTCCCAAGGCCCAGCTGTGCCCATCTGTGGGTCTTCTCTCAGCCTCCATCCTACACTTTCCAAAAAGAGGGGACAGCACAGCTTTGGTCAACGGAGCTGGTATCTCAGGATCTATCACCACATTCTACCTTGGGATTTGCATACCTCATAGGTCAAGTTCTAGAGATCTGAAGGGTGCTATTTTGGAAACTTCTTACTTTTTAGCAATAACCCGTGGTTAGAAGTATGTTTTATATTATAGACTGGTGCAGGGGCACACAGGCCCAGCTCTGAAAAGCACTTGATGAAACAGTACATTCTGTTACCCTGTCATTCTGATCCAGTCCATTAAAAGGAAAATCCACCTGGCTTCAGTGTCCCCACCCCTGGCTGGATGCTTCAGTGGATGGCCTCTCAGGGAGAGTCAGGAGACCCATGTGGCCAGCCTCACAGCCCTGAACTGGTGTTGAGAGTGTGGGGATTGGGCCCTCAGCCTCGATGCCGGGCCCCACGGTGACTGGCGATCTTGGGCCAGTCACCCACACACCCACACTCTCTGGCCCCCGTTCTCCCTCTGTGAGATTGGCGTCATGACCCTGGGTTGTAGGGTTGCTGTGGATGTTAAATCAGATTGTTCACGAAGCACTTGGACGGGGCGCTGGGCGGCTGTCATCCCTTCACATGTCTGCCTTCTGCAAAGCCCACCCAGGCCTGGGACATGCAGCCCTGACAGGAAGAATAAGCGGAGTCTTGGGCATGACACTCCCCTTCTCGGAGGCTTCCCTGCTTCAAGGATGAGGCGAAGGTTTGACCTTACAGAAAAATTAGTGAGCTGAAAACAGACGGAGGGCCTTGGCAGCCTCTGCATACCCCCTGCCAGCCGCGGAGCCACCCACGTGAATACAGCCCCAGATGCCTGGACTCACCACGGCAGCGATGTTTTCGTGGTAGTGCCTGAAGGTGAAGCCTTCTTGCATCGTGATGGTGGCCAGGGCCTCCAGGACTGAGGCGCTGAGGTAAAAGAGGGCAGCGGTGCAGTGGTAGGCTGCATCCTGTGGGGCACACGGGGTGTCAGAGGGATGGGGAGAGAGAGACGGGGCCCAGATGCAGAGCTGAGGTCCCCTCCACCCCTGCCCCTAGCCTCTCCCCCCACTTTCTTTGAATTTCACCCCTCCCAGCCTCCTCACGGAGGTCCTGTGCCCACCTTGCTATGCTGAGTCTCACTTCACTGCTTGGGGTCAGAGCAAGCACTTCCCTGGGGATGGGACACTGGTCTCCCCTGAGGAAGGGTCAAGGGAGAGGTGGAGGAGGGTCCAGCAACTTGGGGTGCCCTGGGGAGAAGCTGGTCCTGGATCTGAGAAGTGTCGTGCATGGCCAGCTTGGGTGTGGCCTCACTGGCCAGTGCAGGGTGAGGGTGGCCCACGCTGTTTCTATGGTGTTTTTTTGTTTTGTTTTGTTTCATTGCTTATTTTTGGCTCCTGGTATATTTAAAAGCATTAAAGGGCTGGGTGTGTGACTGTAATCCTAGAGCTTTAAGAGGTCAAGGCAGGAGGATCTCTTGAGGCCAGGATTTGAGACCAGTCTGGAAAACATACTGAGATCCCCATTTCTACACAAAACAATAAATCTTAGCTGGACACAGCAGTACATGCTTGTAGTCCCAGCTACTCAGGAGGCTGTGGCAGGAGGATCACTTGTGCCTCGGAAGTTGAGGCTGCAGTGAGATGAGATTGCGCCACTGCACTCCAGCCTGGGTGACAGAACGAGACCCCCAGCTCAAAATAAAGAAATAAATGAAAGCGAAAAGGTACTAAAACAGGGTTTTGTGTAGTTATGATTTGGAAAGAGGCTTGGCCAAATGGCCTCCATCACCTCTACAGTAGGGAAGGGCAGCATCCCACATGTAAAAGTTACCTTTTCACAGGCCTCAAAGCAGAATTTATATAGAATAACCACCGCAGACCATTTCTGTTTCCCAGTGTTCTCTGACAGCCCTGCTTGGAAGTCAGTGGCTGAGGACCCAGACAGTAAGCATGGCCTGACCCTGAGAGTCAGGGCCAGTTTCCAGCCTGTGTCGGCCTCCGGGGCCCTGCTCCCCTGAGATGAAAATAGCCCTCCTGGGTGATGGGAGGGGCAGCAGGCACCTGGTGGGTGCAGGTGGTGTGGTGGCTGGGCAGCTGGTTATCTGTGGAAAGGCAGTTATGCAGGAGAACACAGAACAGGTCCAGTGAGGGCTGGCAGCACAGACCTTGCCTCTGCCCCCAACTCTCCTGAATCTGCTGCCGGGAGCCCTGGGCAGGCTCAGCCTTGGAACATGGTGGGGTGACATCTATGGGGAAATCTCACTGGCACTGGAAAAGCCAGCCCTACTGGGCCAGGGGCCAGTACTACCCGCTCCCACAGCCGCCTTGGGCTGGACTCACCAAGGTGACCCAGGAAGTCTCCCCACCGTGGGCTCCAATTATGTACAGGACAATCAAGGTGGTGGTGGCCACGAAGCAGAACACAGACACGAACATCACCCAGCCCTGGACCAGGGGCCAGGGCACTAGGGAGGAGGCAACCAGGATCCACACCAGGCCCCCAAAGACCTGCAGGGGAGGAGCAGAGTGAGTGTCAGCCCAGAGGAGACCCCAGCCCCTGACCAGCCCCTGACCAGCAGGGGTGACTGGGGTGCAGAAACACAGAAAGAAGGCAAAGAGAACAGGGCAGGCATTCTCCTCCTCATAAAAAATGCAGCTTTAGTCCCCCCAAAGGCCCTGGGCTGGATCTCATTCCCAATCCCCTGCACACTTGCTTTGATTCACTTTTTAAAAAAATTTTTTTCTTGAGACAGAGTCTTGCTCTGTCACCCAGGCGTGAGTACAGTGGCATAATCTGGGCTCACTGAAACCTCTGCCTCCTATGTTCAAGCAATTCTCATGCATCAGCTCCCTGAGTACCTAGGACTACAGGCATGCGCCATCACACCTGACTAATTTTTCTATTTTTAGTAGAGACAGGGTTTCACCATGTTGGCCAGGCTGGTTTTGAACTCCTGACCTCAGGTAATCCACCTGCCTCGGCCTCCCAAAGTGCTGGGATTACAGTTGTGAGCCACTGCACCTGGCCTGATTCACTTTTTAAATACAGTTTAAATTTTTTATTTAACAAACGCTTATATCAGACCTACATGCCAGGCAGTATCCTAAGTACTTTACAAATAATAACTCAGTGATTCTTACAACAACCCTTTGAGTAACGCTGACCCGTTCGCCAGATAAGGAAACTGAGGTAGGTGGAAGTTAAGTAACTCATCATTCTGAGGAAGGATTTATGTCATTCAGTATTGTCATGAGAAGGCTGCTATTTCTTCCGAGATTCTAGCCTTTCTACTTGCTTTGATATTAAGATGTCCTTTCTTTTATGTAACTGTAGTGACCAGCAGATCCTTTCCGTCTTTATTTGGCAAAACAAATTAGTCACACTGTCAGTAGCCACCCCCACCTCCTTTCTATGTCTCTCCCCTCCCTTTCCCTTTCCCTCTCCCTCCCCATCCCTTTTTCCCTCCCCTTCCCCCTCCCCTTCCCCCTCCCCTTCCCCCTCCCCTCCTCCCTCCCCTCCTGCTCCCCCCTTCCCTTTTTTCCTCCTCCTCCTCCTCTTCATCCTCCTCCTTCTTCTTCTCTCTCTCCCCTTCTCTCTTTCTTTCTCTTACTTATTGTTTCTTTTTCTGGATTCAACCCTTTATATCCCCAAGTCCAGGAAGTGTTCCGACCACAAATTTGGAGTTGGAATAAAGTAACCCAGATCAGCCTTGTCTCCTTGAACTGCCGAGGATGGGAGTGAGGGAAGTACAGCCTCGAGGTTATCCAGAATATATCCCAGTTGATGTCCCCAGGGTCAATGAGCCCCATTTACTCAAAGAAGAGCAGACACGGGCCAGACGCGGTGGCTCATGCGTATAATCCCAGCACTTTGGGAGGACGAGACCAGGTGGATCACGAGGTCAAGAGATCGAGACCATCCTGGTCAACATGGTGAAACCCCGTCTCTACTAAAAATACAAAAATTAGCTGGGCATGGTGGTGCGCGCCTGTAGTCCCAGCTACTCGGGAGGCTGAGGCAGGAGAATTGCCTGAACCCAGGAGGCGAGGTTGCGGTAAGCTGAGATTGCGCCATTGCACTACAGCCTGGGTAACAAAGAGCGAAACTCTTTCTCGGGGCGGGGGAAAAAAAAAAAGGAGCAGACACAGGAGCCAGTAGTGCCCCTCAGTGGCCTAGCCCTGCTCTTACCACCTTGCCACGGATAGGCACATACAAACCCCAGCGGGGACTTTCTGCACTTCTCCTTCCCTTCTCTTCATCTCTCCCCGCTCCCCTCAGTGAGAATCAGCTCAGCCTCATCCACAGGTTCCCCACTCAGATGGGGACTGAGCTCGGAGGACTCTAGGCCTATATGGAGATTCCTTTGCAGCCAAGTCTCCAAGGTACTACAGAGACATCTGGGGGACTGAGGACGGGGTTGCCCTCCGAGGCCTATGTCCCCTGTAGTGTGAATTCACACAGCATCTTGACCCCCCACCTCCCTGGACCTGCTAACCACCTGCTGGGTGAGAGATACTACTGTCTTCACAGGTGTTCTTTGAGCTGCTTTCTGAAAAGCATCAGGAGAGAATTGCATTTGGGTACAAAAATCAGTGCAATGAAGACTCTGGATTTATCAAAACCAAGTTGTCCCTAAGGAATCAGATGTGGGTATCTCTGACGATAAAGCGTCCTCTGCTGATGGATCTTAGGTTGCCTGAAGGCACATGGCAGGGCCGGTGGGATGCACTGTGCACCTTATAAAAATGGGAGCAAAATCAATTAAATAAAAATCCCCAGGCCGGGCGCGGTGGCTCAAGCCTGTAATCCCAGCACTTTGGGAGGCCGAGGCGGGTGGATCACGAGGTCGAGAGATCGAGACCATCCTGGTCAACATGTGAAACCCCGTCTCTACTAAAAATACAAAAAAACTAGCTGGGCGTGGTGGCGCGTGCCTGTAATCCCAGCTACTTAGGAGGCTGAGGCAGGAGAATTGCCTGAACCCAGGAGGCGGAGGTTGCGGTGAGCCGAGATCGCGCCATTGCACTCCAGCCTGGGTAACAAGAGCGGAACTCCGTCTCAAAAAAAAAAAAAAAAAAAAAAAAAAAAAAAATCCCCAGACCGCCATAGAATAAGATGTGTGTGTGGATTTCATCCACCATTGAGTTTAAGATCAAATAGATTATGCGGCCTTTTCCATAGCGGGCACTGATGGAGGGACAGGAGCGCATTGGTGCAGGCAGGACTTGGATTCAGGAGGCATGCGAGGTTGGCGCGGAGAAATGGGAGAATCCACTGGACACATCCAGAGGGCAGAGGGTGGTCCTGGCCTGGGAATTCCTCCCCTAAGCACCCTTTGCCTGGTGGCCACGTGACCCTCCGAGGATGACAAAACTAAGTTGCCTCCTTGTTCACATGCTCTCGGGGAGTCCTGCATGTCGTCTCTGCAACACTCAGCACAAACACAGGGGTATTGGATTAGGGACAACGTGGTGCTTCCCCCGACCAGGTGATAGTGGGCTTGAGGTCTGCCTTGCTCACAGCTGCCTCCCTGGAGGGGACCTGGAGAAGACCCATTCAGCCACCCATCAGTGTCCAAGTCGGCTAATGGACCTTCAGTCTCCTGGTACCTTGGTGTGGCTAAAGTAGAGCCACTTACGAACCAAACCCCAAAGGAGCAGCTTGGGTTGCACATGGTAGGGAGGAGACTCCGTTATGGAATCCCAGTGGGACCCCAGGGGCCAGAGGTGCTTATGGGTGACCAATGGGCATGCTATTGAGGAACACTGAATTTCATAGTGAGGCAATGATTCCCTGCTCCTTTACTCTCTTTGTTTTTTCTGATGAAGGCAGGAAGGGCTCAGGGTGGAGCTGGGTGTCTGGAGTTCTCTTATAGTGCAGATAGGCAAAGGTGAACTGGATAGTGACATTGTTTCTATGCTTATGATTGCAATATCATCATTTGGGGAAAAATAAACTGTAAAATACATATGAGGTGAATTAATGCACAGGTGGCACTTGGAAATGGCAAATCTGAGAAGGTGGCCCCCAGTTCCTATCTGCAGTCATCTCTCTTCACTCCATTCTTCCCATGTGGCTCGAGATGTGATATGTGAGAATCAAGGGCAGGAAAAGTGAGGGGAAGTCAGTGCATGGAGGGCTGGCCACAGCCTCTGTGTGCACCTTGCTGACTGCAGCCACAGCGTGGGCCCTGAGCTGCGTGGAGAGCCTTGAGGTCAAGCTAGATTCTATGCCCTGACTGTTCCGGTGAGTGCTTTTACCAACCCGATGAAGACTATTTTTCAGCTCCCTGGGAAATTCCATGATCCCCACACTGGCATGCAGATTCCTGTCTATAATGGGAACCCTGTCCACAGTTGCCCATAGAACAAAGCCTACCATGGGCTCAGCCCCAGCCCCTGTCCCCTGACAGATCTCAAAACCTCATCCAAACTCCAGGGGCTTCACCTTGCAAGTGAAGCCCTTTAAAAAAATCAGGCTGACATTTTTCCTTTGCATGGTACATTCATAGCAGAAAGAGCACATTTCAAGCTCAGAGGATGCTGAAACAGTTGTGAGGGCTTCGGAGGCTGAAGGCTGAGCAGCTGGGCACAGGTCAAAGAGTGCTAGAAGATGAGGCTTGAGGGCGGGTGAGCCTCCAGCCCTGCTGTATGCAAAGCTGAGATTTCGTGTGCACCATGAGTCAAAGCTGATTCCCATCTTGCTCCACCTACTCAATGTACAGAGCAAACAGAATAAGCAGGGCACTCTCACCAGGGAGATAAGGCAATCCTGGGCATGGAGCAATATACTCCAGCCTGGCGTCAGGACCCACCCCACCGGCCAAATATTTGTCAAGAGCAAGGGAGTAGGTAAGGGTTCAAGCATTTTCCTTCATCAAGGAAACTCCGGTGGCTCCCAGCTTCCATGTGACCATGCACAGAGGCAATTATTTTGAAAACGTTATTGACACTCTGTAGGCATGGTGCTGTGTCCCCTTGGTTTCTGTCAATGGGTCAGACTTCTCCCTGAGCCCGCAGCTGCACCTTGTCATTGTCCATCAAAATAGAGACGGTACAGCTGTCTGGGCAATCTCAGACAAAGGTCTCCAGTTGCATGGCTGGAGAGGGACAAAGGTTGAGCACTCTCTGGGTCCCAGGGCTTTAAGTAAGAAGATGGGGATGGAGCCTAGGCAAACACTCTATCGTCCTCAGCCCTGACTATACATTAAGTCACCTGGGACGCCTTTAGAAAAAAAACACCAAAGCCTAGGACTCATGCCCAGCGTCTGATTCTGCGGGAAAGAAGCAGAGTGATGGGACAGATGCCCCAGACTCCTGGCCAAGGCCTCGTGATGTGTTACCGTAACATAAGGCCATGGGCAATGCTCTGTAGCTCCTGTCTCAGGGCCCTGCCTGTCCCCCAGTGATGCCAGCCGACTGTTCCCCTCCAGATCCTGCCCGGCCTCTCAGTGCAAAGTGTCACCCTAGTGTTTCCTCTCCTCTCTCCACCTCTCCTCTCCTTGAGC